CTCTGCTTCGGCATCGCCAAGGAAACGGGGGTTGCCAAGGCCTGAAATCTGGTCCACAGTACTTTGCAACTAGCCAAGCGCCAAGGACGTTTGCTTGGCGTCCTCGCGAAGGTGCCCTGCGCTAGGAGCTCGGGACACGGTTGTGGCATAAGGTTACAGAGGGCGGGCGGAGAGGGGTGTGTCAGGGGCTGGAGGGACCAGTGCCCACGCTCTGCCTGGATCTGCGCCGGGCTGGAGATCCTGTTTCACCGGCGTTGAGGGACATGCCTGCGCCTCAGCCAAATATCAACTAAAAAAAGAATGTCCTGGCCGGTGCGGGGGGCCCGTTGCCAGAACTGATCCTCGGGTGCCAAATGATTATTTAATGTGACTTGCTTACTTTTTGGCATGTCGTTGGAGGAGAGGGAAGAGCAGATGCAAGTTTGCCCTGAAGCATTTGCAGTGGGCCCTGGTTTGCACCAATTCTTGCAAAGTTAACGCTTCGCTGAGGAAAAGGACAGCACAGACAGATGAAATCACTTTGGAGAGTGCTGCATTCGCCACAAGAGTAGGAAAAGCACAAAATGCGCTTTGTCCATGGGATAAAATTCTCTGTGATTCTTCGAATTCACTAACAACTCCCTTGCCCCAAGTTTCTGGCACTTATATAGGAGAAGTTCCTTGAAAAGGCCTGTTGAAATCTCAGAAACACGGATGATGACTAAATATTAGTATTTGGTGATGAAACTGAGAACGCAGCAGAACTTCCTTCCTGTGACTGGCAGCATCAGAATAAATTATGCAAAATGGTAAACATTGCTGACTATCTTGTGCAAAGCAAGAGAAGGGGAGCATGTTGTAAGAGTGTGTGATTTCTATATGAAAGGTCCCAGTTTCATTGTCCAGCATTGCAAACAGAGGTGGACAAGGGGTGATGGTGTAGGCCAAGGGTGCAGAGGAGGATCCTTTCTCAAGCTTCTGGGCTAAGGGTGTGTGTGGGGAGGAGGTGTCAGGTGATATCCTTGGATAAAGCCTCCCCTTCCAGAAGGGCTTCCCACAGACATACAGTGGGGCAAAAAAGTATTTAGTCAGCCACCAATTGTGCAAGTTCTCCCACTTAAATGAGATGAGAGAGGCCTG